TCCTTCATTTCTTTCTCTTGCCCAGTTGCTCTGAAAAATGTTTCAAGAGCTATATTGAACAGGAGTGGTTATGGAAACATTCTTGTCTTGTTCTTGATTTTAGAAGAAAAGCTTTTACCTTTAATATGGTGTTAGCCATTGGTTTGTCATAGATGCCTTTTATCAGATTGAGATGAAGACCTATTATTTTTTGAGGGCTTTTATCATGAATGGATATTGGGTTTTGTCAAATGCTTTTTCTGTGTCTACTGATATGGTTTTTGTCTTTGCTTCTATTTATGTGGTGAATTATAGTATTGATTTGTGTATGTTAAACCATCCCTGCATCCCTGGAATGAATGCTACTTTGTTGTGGTGTATGATCTCTTCGATGATTCACTGCATTGTTGCCAGTATCTTACTGAGAATTTTTGCATCTATGTTCATTAAAGAGATTGGCCTGCAGTTCTCTTTTTTGGTCAGGTCCTTTTCTAGTTTTGGAATCAGGATAATGCAAGCTTCCAAGAATGACTGGGAATACTGCTTCTCTTCAATTTCATTAAAGAGTTTGAGGAGTGTTGGTATTAGATCTTCTCTAAAGTTCTTATAGACTTTGGTAATAAATCTGCCAAGATCTGGGCTTTTAGTGAGTAGTGTTTTGTTTTGTTTTCAATTTCATTGACTGATATTGGATTAGTCAGGATTTTTATATATTCTTGGTTCAGCTTTGGTAGTTGTGTATCTAAGAATCTGTTTCTTCTGAATTCCCATTTTCTTAGAGTACAGGTTCTTAAAGTAGTTACCAATGATATACTGGATTTTGGCAGAATCCATTGTGATTTTGCCTCTCTCATTTCTTTTTTTTTTTTTTTTTTTTGGTACCAGGGATCAAACTCAGGACCTTGTGCTACCTCTCTCATTTCTAATTGCATGGATTTGGGTCTTTCCTTATTTCGGTAAAATCGGCTAAGGGTTTATTTTGTTGATTCTTTCAAAGAACCAACTCTTTAATTCACTGATTCTTTGTAATTTTTTTTTTTAGTCTCAATTTCATCAATTTCTGCTCTGATCTTTATAATTTGCTTCCTTAAATATTAGCTTTGGATTTGAATTGCTCGTGTTTTTCTAGGACCTTTAAGTACATTAGGTTATTTGAGCTTGCTTTGTCTAATGTAGGCATCCACTGCTATAAACTTCCCTCTTAGGACTGCTTTCATTGTGTCCCATAGGTTCAGGTACATCATACTGGCACTGTTTGATTGTAAGAACGAATTTCTTCCTTGATTTCATCTGTCACTCATTGATTATTCAAGGAGGTATTGTTTAATTTCCATGTATTTACTGTGGTTTCTTTTGCCCTTGTTTTCTAGTTTCATTGTACAATGATCTGATAACATGCACGGGATAATTCTGATTCGTTTGCATTTACTTAAGCATGCTTTATGGACTAGTATGTGGTCGGTTTTGGAGAAAGTCCCAAGTGCTGCTGAGAAGGATGTGTATTCTGTTGTTGGCTGGAACACTCTGTAGACAACTATTAAGTCTGTTTGTTTGAAGGTTTGACTCAACTCTGCTATTTTTTGTTGTCTAGTTGATCTGTGACAATGGGGTCCTGAGATTCCATTACAATTGTATTGGTGTTTATCTGCCTTTTCATGTTAATTAGTACTTATTTTATAAAGTTGGGCACACTGGTATTTGATGTATATGTTTATAATTGTCATTGTTGAATCCTTCCCTTAGCTGCTATGTAGTGCCCTTTGTTCTGATCAGTTAAGATAGCTATTCCTGCTTTTTCCTATTGTGTGGAATATTGTTTTCCATCCTTTGATTTTTAATCTGTGAAATTCTTTTTGAATTAAATATTACTTGTACACTGCACATCATTGGGTTTTATGTGGGGTTTTTTGGGTACTGGGGATTGAACCTTGGGACCTTGCGCTTGCGAGGCAGGCACCAGAACCACTGAGCTAAATCCCCAGCCCCATTGGGTTTTGTTTCTTGATCCATTCTGCCAATCTGTGCCATTTGATTGGGGAATTGAGGCCATTCACATGAAAGGTACTGACATTCCTGTCATTGCATTATTTTCCTGTTGCTGATTTCCATATTGTTCTTTTTGCTTCAGTGTTCATCCCACCACGTGTATTTATTCATTTTGACTCACTGGCATTGGTAGCATCATTGTCTCTTTCTAGAAGATCCTTGAGAATTTTTGGAATGCTAGTTTGGAGGTCATGAATTTCTTGTGGTGCTCCTTGTCATGCCAATACCTTATTTTCCATAAATTTTGGAGAGTTGCAGGATATGTAAGTCAGGGTTGGAAGTTATCTTTTAAGGCTTAACACTGCACTGCAAGCCCCTCCTGACCTTTAGGGTTTGAGTTTTCCTTTGTATGTGACTTGTTGCCTTTCTCTAAAAGCTTTGAAGATCTTGTCCCTGTGATGGGCTTCAGGTACTGTGAGTATAGTAATGTGCAGAGAGGCTCTTTGCTTGTTGACTATATGGGTTCTATCAGCTCACTTGTCTGTATGTTTCTTTCCCTGTATTTGGAGAGTTTTCTGCCATTATTTCTGTGAACAGATTTTTTTTTATGCAATTTGTATTATCTTATTTTCTACTTATTCCAGTTAGTCTTCTTTACATCATCTAGCAGCAGTTGGACCCATTTTTCATGTGCTCTTCTTGCTTTTAAGGTGTCTGAGTAGTTGGTCTTTGAAGGCACCCCTGTCTTCAAGTTCTGAAATTATCCTCACATTGATCACTTTTGGTGCCCATACTTTCAGTATAACTTTTAGTTTTCTGGATTTGATTAAAACCTTTTCGTGGACTTCTTTGCTAAACTGGTCATTCGTGTTTTGTATAATTTGTTTCACTCAGTTAGCTTTTTATTAGAGTCTTCTGAAAGCTCCCAGATCATTTTGGTTATGACTTCCATTATCTGTTTATTTGGATCTTCTGTGATCCCACTGAGTATCCCTTTGATCTGTTTTCTAACCTCCTCTTGTTTCCCTTTCAAGTAGTTTGGCTGTGAAGTTTATGCTATTCTCCTCTTTGAAGGACCCCAGCACTGGCTTCAGGGTAGTTGGGATTGTTGGGATGCATTTTGTTGCCTTGTCTTATGTGTCTATTGTTTGTTTTGGGCTGTGGTTTTCGGACATATTATAAAGACTTTGTTGCTAGTATGGACATCTTTTTAGTTAGTCCCTCATCAGTGATGTACTTTGGTCATGACTAACTACAGTCTTTGCCTCTGCCCCAAGATCTGTCCACCTGTTAATTTGGGAGGGGAGTTAACTGGTGTAACACCAATTTCTCTGGGGAATGTACTCCAGTATTTTTAATGTCACAAAGGTAATCTGGGTATTGGGTTATAGAGAAAACCCATTAATAGCAACAAGCATGTGACCCTGGTAATGTCAAGCAAATCAGCTACACACTAGTATTGTTGAAGATAAAATGGATATTAATATAACCTTAAGAACCAATTATGTACTATCCTCAACCCTCCAGAAGAAATCTACAATTATATGTAAACATTCAGACAACCCACATAATGACTTAACAGAAATATATACTAAATGCAAAAGCTGTATCTCCACTAATGGTAGAAAAGAACTCAACAGTAATTTTATAGTTAGCTAACTATCCAAAGATTAATAAAGCTTTATGGCTATATTATTAAAGATATAAGGGTTGCAAGCAGGGAAGTATAAGAGGAAAAATTTGAAACCTTAAACCATATGAGTAGAGAGAAATGAGTCAAAGGATCTTATTAGGGAGCAGAAGGATGTTTATAGGATCAGGTAAAGGTAACACAGGATGAGAAATAGAAGATAAAAGGAGGAAGGAAAAAAAATCATAAAGTAAAAATAAGAAAAATTAAAGAGGAGAAGAGGAAAAAATAAAGAAGAGAAAGCACCAGCAAGGTAAAAGGACAAAAGGAAAAGCCTCCCAAATCCCAGTAAACTGGTGAAGAAACAGGAAAGAAGAAATAAAAAAGAAAAAGCCAAACAACACACACAGAAATGTTTTCTGATTGTGAATGTATGGTTTTCTTGTGAGACCCACAACTCTGGGCAGTGTCCAAGTCAAAGACGTGCTCCTGCTCACACTGGTGAAGAAGGCAGTCGGTTAGACCCCAGATCCATGCTGGATGCAGGCACCAGCAGGCAATAGGATTATGGTGAGGGTGCCAATGCTGTGACTTTCAAATCCAGAGCAATTTGGCTGGGGCCTATGTCCTTCAGCTCACACCCCTGGGGGATCTCTTCCCAACCACTCCTGGACTATGTTTGCCTCAGATGGCTGTCTCACCCCGTCACAGTGGAAACATAACACTGGGAGCTCTGAAGTGCAGCCATCTGTGGCTGCTCTGAGTCCAGGTTCAAACAGTCAACCCTCTCTCAGAATGGCATCTGACCAACCACTCTCTCCAGGGACATGGCAGGTGCGTGGACTGGAGTCACTCACTTTCTGCTGGCTGTTGAAGGACTCGCATTGGAGCAGAATCCCCCTCTCCCTGCAGCTCACAGCATCGACCAGCCTTTCTGCAGCCGCGTTTCTGAGGCCCAGCTTACACTTTGTCTCTGTGGGTTTGGTCTCCCTTTTCTGTGAGCCACAGGCCAGGAGCCCGGGAGAAATAGATGGACTCTTTCCTTGTCTGTGTTGTGTTCTGTCTCTTCCATTTCTGTGTGGGTTTTAATTCTGTCAGATCTTTCCTGGTTCCCAGGGACCTACTTCCCTCTTTTTTCTTCCCTAAGTTGTTATTTTCCATAGTCTGGCTTCTGAATCTCTGAGAGGCTGAGTTGTTATTGCTCACCACTCTGCATTTTCCCGCCACTCTTTACTTTTTTAAACACTTTCTTCAGTTGATTTCTAGTACTCCAAACTCTTCTGTGCTTCCTTTTTCATTGACTGGCTATACCTTCTCAGTATCCTGTGATGGTCATCAGACTTAGGCATGTCATGTCAACCCTGATCAATTCAACCTTTAACCCCATGCTTTCGTCTTCTCACAGGTGTCCTCTTTCAGGACTGAGAAGCGCGGTGCAGCTTACCTCCTTGCTGCCCCTGAGGGTGGTGTAGGGGACTGCATGGACCAGCATGCCCAGGGCATGGGTATGCACTACATGGAAACATACTTGAAGAAGAAACGTGTGTACTGAGCGGAGTCCTCACCACCTGCTCCGCTAGTGGCAGCATCTCTGCTGTCTAGTGCTGCCTTAACTTCATCCAGATTAGCCATAGCCTCTCAATACGGGTCCATGACTCCCAGGAGGAGCAGTGTTGCAGCAGGCAGAATTGCCAAATCAAACATAAGCAGCAATAAGAAGAAACACCACCTGAGGACATTCCGCGCCAGAATTAAATGTATGTTAATGTGACATTCACTTACAGTTCATTGGAAAAACTAACACCGTTCCAATATTCCTTGTTTCAGGACTGGGAACAATTTTCACATCACATATAAAATCTGAAGCAATAAATGGGAAACAACCGTTTCCTTAGCCTTAGAATCAATTTCTTAAACGCCAATGTGCATTTGTTTGCTTCCCTACAAGTAATTTCACGTGTGGATTTTTAGAGCCCTTCTGTAGCTGTGAGGGTGTAAGTGCCAAATACGGTGACAGCGATGCAAACTCCTCTCTGACCCCACAGCAGCCGGGTGACTAAACCAACAGAGCCAGGGCCACCCATTTTCCGGTCCCCCTTCTGTCTCTCTTTGGCAAAAGCTTTCTTTTTCCCAATACATTTTGCCTACTCTAAATTAAAAAAAAAAAACAAAAAAAAAACAGAGCCGTAGTGGGGTCCGGGCTGTGCACTAGCAGCGGCTGCCTGGAGTTGAGGTATTACACCCTAACAAGGTATTTTAGCAGGAGTGACTTCGGTGATCTAACTCAGGCGTTGGCAGACTACACCCTAGGGCCCACTTTGCTCTACTGCCTGCCTTTAAAAGTGCCTGCAAGGTAAGAATGTTTAGTTTCCAATGGCTGGGAGAGGGGAGACGATGTACAGCCTGAAATGTCCATGAAACTCCAATGTGAGTCCACATGGTTCCACTGCACTGCACACACACACGTGCTCACGGCTGGTGTCCTGTCGGCAGTGACTCCTGTGCCACGTGGTGAGCTGAGGAGCATGACGGAGAGCAGGCCCCTGAGGCCAAGGGCAGGCGGTCCGGCCCTTCAGAGCGGGCTGAGCCCTGACTTCATGTTCCGTCCTCTCATTTCCCCTCCAGACCAACCGTAACTTTGGGGACAGACTTGTCGGTGGCAGGGACATGGGTTTCTGTGCCTCGTTTCACAGGGCACCCAGTGATGACCTAGCGACCAGCCTGGGCCTCTGCCCGTCAAGCGTGCTGTACCACAGCTCAGTGCAGCCATCGGCGCCGCCTCTTCCGAAGGAGTCTGGTGGAGACCCACAGCCACCTTGTGCGGCCAAGCCGTACCTCACTCTGCTTTGTCCTCTTTGGCCACGTCAGGCTGGGAATGTCAGCTGCCTAACCCAGTTCAACGTCTGTTAGTGTGATTCTGGGATCACTACTTTCTGAAGACTGGCGTTAAATGCACGAGAAACCTTTTGCCATCTAGAAGCTCCTAGGTTTGTTTGCTGCTAATGGAGTTTGGGGTCACAGTGATCCTAGTCTTTAGGATCAGCTCATTAAAATACCTTATAGGGCTGGGGATTTAGCTCAGTGGTTCCACTGCCTGCCTCGAAAGCACAAGGTCCTGAGTTCGATCCCTGGTACCAAAAAAATTTAAAAATAAAAAAGAATACCTTGTCATTCTGGGGACTTGCTGTGTTTGATGTAGTTCTCCTGCTTTAATTATGACATCAAGAACTGGTGCATGTGTTGTATGCTTTGTAAAGAATTTTCCTTGGGGGCCGGGGATTTAGCTCAGCGGTTCCGTCGCCTGCCTCGACAGCACAAGGTGCCGAGTTCGATCCCTGGTACCAAAAAAAATTTTCCTTGGTCTAATTTACTGCGTGTACTGCTTGTATTGGAGAAGAAGTGTTAGAAAGTTAAGCTAGGACAATTTCTGAGCAGTCCACTACCTACAGGCGACCCAGCAGGACGCGTCGCAGCAGGCAGCCTTCGGGCCTCCCCTTCTCCCCATTCTCCTGTGGCTCTCGGCCTCGAGAGCTTGGTCAGCCTTCCCGCCAGTGTGAAGAGAGGGAGGCTGGTACATCTCACATGGGAGCTTGGACTGGAGAGCAAGAGGCGGAAAGACTGGGAGGGAGCGGTTTTCGATTACGGCACATGTGGACTCCGCAGCCACACCAGCCAGTGCCCATTGTCACTGCACAGAACAGGGAAGCACAAGCCGAGCAGTGTCGGTGACAAGGGTCGGGCCCAACCCTCTCCCCAAAACCACACTGCTATTCCTCTGTGTAAGCAAACTGTTCGAAATGCTCTGAAAACGAACACTTCCTATTAAAAGGCATATGCATGTAAAGTCTTCCGTACATTTATTTGTATAAAGAGTAAACAAAGTGCATATAGAGTGGCCACAGGTTTGACACAGAGAGAGGGTGGTGACATAGGGAAATGGGACCCATCCAAGTGGCAAGTTTGCTACTGCCCCAGAAGCAATCTGACCCTCTCTGAGGGCAGTTGCAGAAGGTGAGGAGTAGAGTTCGGAGCACATACTAGACTCGTGGTCAGAAAGAGCTTATGGGTTCACATTGAATCACAGACTAACCAACTGGGGCTCCTCGGCGACCAGCAAACAAACTGAACTGTCTGTGGCTCCTGAACTCCAGAGCGCCGCGAGCTGGGTCTTGGGGTCTTTTCTCCCGAGTGCCGCACCACAGGTAGATGGTCAAGACGAGTGGCCCTGCAGACGGGCAGCAGTGACTACCAACACTAGGGGCAGCATCTGCAATCAGGGCCGGAGCAGCTTGCTCCAAGCTGGTCGAGTTTTTAGAGCGTGTGTCACAGCATCCAGGCCGGGGAGTCTGGCTGGCTGGAGCAGACGGCTGGGGACAGCATGGCCAAGGCAGGCTTTCAGACATCACATGCAGCAGGGAACGGATTCCACGCTGTCCCCAAGCAGAGCCAGTGTGCGAAACAACTGTGGCAGGTCCGGCGTGGGAACAGCGGCGGGGCCACTGAGCACAGGTCGAGGCTGCAGTCCCTCTGGGGACGGGAACGCACTAGACGGGCGGGTCTGGGACCTCGGAGCACTCGGCCTGTCACCACAGGCTGACAAAACCCGGGGCGTGTCAGCAGCACTGGCCACCAAGGCCGTCCACTGCTGCCTAAGGTTAATGCGCCAGAAAGCCTTTCAGGTCACCAGGCTCCATCTGAGCCTGGGCTTGGGCCGATTCATCTCGCGTGCACCAATCCTACTGTGCTATGTGCCTGTGACGGTGAATGAGCTGAACAACCGGCGTTTTTTCCAAGAGGAGTGCTTATGGGCTTCCCAGTACTTTGGCTGTCATTATTTGTCACTGAATTTAAGAAGTGCCCAATTTAAAGAAGAAGTTTCTACACGCGGCTGGCACCCCAGTGCGCCTTACACATGTACAGCTGAGAGTCTGAGTGACTCCCCAGATAGATAAAAGCTTTCCCATCACTGCTTAAAAATATCGTGGGTATTTGCTGGGGTAGGAGGGCTTGATACACAGTGGAATTTCAATGTTATTCCTGCTTATTTTAAAAGTGCTTCAAATCCTTCAATAAGGCTCTGGAAGGTTGTCCGGCTGGATGGCTGGAATTCCCAGCATTTTCTCATAAGCTGATAAACCTGGAGAAAAATAAAAACAAAAATAGCAGCAATGTAAAAATGTTGTCCATCTAGAAGCTTTTTGGAAAATTACAGAAACACTGAGAGTAAGAAAATAATTTTAGATGTGTAGGACGACTCCTCCCCAAGAGATCACAGGCGGATCCGGACTCTGAACCACAGAAACTGGGATTCCGTTTCGGAGCCTAGCCCAGGGTGGTGCCAGTCACCGTGAAGGGCGGGCGCAGCGAGCCGCAGGCTGAGCCTACCCGCCCCGGGCGCCCCGAGCCTCGGCCCTCAGCAGAGCCCGGCAGGCTGCAGTGGTCGCAAAGGCTCAGCTCACGAAGCTGCGATAAGCACTACAGGTGCACAGAAAGCGTGAGGCACTGGCCGTGGCCTCCGCTGCTTCTCACGGGAGACCCGAGCCAATGCCTCCCGGGGGTGGGCATGAGGGCGCCCCAGAGTCCTGGCCGTGAACATCCCCGGCCTGGCCCGCACCTCGGCCAGCCTCAGAAGCCCGGAAAGCGCTTCCTGCACCCCCAGCCCTGCTCCCACCCCCGCTGGACACTCGTCCTGTGCAAAGCTAAGGAGAAGGGCATCGCTGCCGTCGGCCTGCAGGTACCTCATCTGGGCAGTTAGGCGGACAAGGCAAGCGTTTTCCTTCCTTCAGGGCGTTCACAAGTCTGGTTACTGTCATCTGGCCATGGGTCGGGCCTATCATTTTCAGGAACAACTATGTAAAACAAGACCAAACAAAACGCTCGACTTCGCACACACCCGTATAAAAACCAAACAGACTGCTAGAGTTAGCTGGAAAATAAATAACAAAAATGCTTTTCCCCTTAGTCTCTTTATCTGAAGACGCAGAAGCTTCAGATCTCCATGGTGGCCTGCAATCAATGTCGCGGGCTCCACCCACCACCGCTGCTCCCAGGCCAGAGGCCTGTTTGCGAGAAGGGTGCCATCCAGGGATCAGAGGGACACGGCCGAGCCTACTCAGGCTGCCCACCTTCCACGTCCTCCCGAGGAACCATGCCCCATGGATCCTGCACACGGGCCGGACCCTGGCAAGGAGGGTTGTCCTGCGGGACTTGAGAGGCTCACAGCGAGCGCGATGGGACAGCGACAGGTCCTCTTCCCAGCATGACTCGCCGGATGGAGTCCATGCAAAACTCAAGCGCAAAGGCCAGGGAGTGGAACTGACAGACTTACGGCCATGGGGCTGGAGTCCGAGTCGCAGTACGTGAGCAGCTCGTGCAGGGTCACTCCGAAAGACCAGACGTCTGAGGCAATGTAAAACTTACACTGGATGAGGCACTCCGGCGCGTACCTAAAGGAAAGCGGGTGCACCTTTGTTTTGGGGAGGGAGGCTCCAACACGCACGACAGAGCAGCTCAGGAAACCAGCCCTCCAGTCCCCGGGGGGATACTCCGGCGACTGTGGGTGCCCGCATCAGTCCCATCCTGCACCCCGCACCAGCCACAGAAGGCACATGTGCACCCCGGGCAGCACAGCCCGCGCTCCCGAGTCAGCAGCGTCTGCCCCAGCTGGCGCCTCCCAGCGTGACCCGTGCTGGTGCCGGACACTGTGCTGGCCCAGCCCGATGGCCGGCATCCCGTCTGCTCTCCTGGGCTCTCCCGAGCCTGCGCCCATCTCGCTGGCCCACCACCGTCCTCCTCACGCTGTCGCTGGCTCCAACCCTGCTCCCTCCGCTCTGAGGGGATCTGAATCACTCGCTCTCCTCCTGCCTCCAGCGGCCCCTGCTCCTGGGTGGCACCCCAGCCCCAAAGCTCGGCTTCCTGAGCGCTGAGCCCGCTGCTCCCACACACGGCCTGTCCTGTCTCAGCTGCAGTAGCTGGCCTGGGCCTGCTCCCAGTGTCCTCCAGGAACCTGCCCGGCCCAGTGTGTGTCAGTGCCGAAACCCGCAGTGATGACCGAACGGCTTGGCCCTGCAGGAGGGACGTCTGTATGTCTGTCCCTCGAACCCTGGGCACCGGGCAGCCTTACAGGAGCCAGTGGAGACATCTGAAGGCTCCCGGAAGACAGCGCCCGGGCCAAGAGGGGCTGTGGCCAGCGTCCGGCTTCTAGCCAGGAAGACAGCGATCCCGAGGCCAGGTCACACCGGGAGCTCCCTGACGCTGTTCAAAGCCCGCTTGTCCCCTGCGTGGACAGCTAAGCAGGAGTGGGCTCCTCCTGGAGAGTCAGACCTCTCCATACCCAGAGGGACAGCACCAGGAGGCTGCGCAACAGTGGGAGGGGAGCAGCGCCCCCTGAAGCCATCTAATCCCCCCCGAAGTGCTCTCGGCAGGAGGAACCTGTCCAGCGGGCCGCCCGCTGGGGCTCGGCTCCCTACCAGAATACGGGGCTGTCGCGGTCGTCCTTGACCGTGTAGTACTCCTTGTCGGTCTCGATGGCCTTGGTGAGCCCAAAGTCCCCGATCTTCACCTGGTGCTCACTTTCAACCAGGACGTTTCTGGCTGCCAGGTCGCGGTGAACGTACTGCCGGGAGCCCAGGTACTCCATGCCCTGGTACAGATGGGGCGGAGCACGGCTCAGCTCACCTCTCAGAGCACTCGCAGGCAGAACCATGGGCCACGCTGGCACACACGCATCTCCGAGGACGCTACCCACCTCCCGCCTGCACGCTGCTGACAACCAGGGCCCACCCCGCAGCAGAGCAGCGGCCCCTGCTGGGCGGCTGTCCTCACCTTACAGATCTGCACGGCGTACTTGAGCTGCTGCTTGAGGTTAATTTTGTTCTTGTTCTTAGGAAGGTACTCCTTCAGGCTTCCCGAGGGCAGGAACTCCATGATGAGCTTGATGCCGTTTCCTCCTGTGTAGGAGAAAGCCCTGATGAGAAGGGGAGCAGGGCTCGGGGGCTGCAGGCGCCGGTAGGGAGGGCTGTACTCGTCCAGGCCTCGTCACGAGCACGGGCTGGGACGGCACAGCGTCCACTGTCAACCCCTAAGCAATGAGAATTACAAGTCATGCCTTTCACTACCAGTGTGTTCTGATTTTGATTTTAAGACAGGGTCTCAATAAGGTGTCCAGACCGACCTCAAACTCATGATCCCCCTGCCTCAGCCTTCTGAGTAGCTGGGATTACAGACATGCACTACCAAACCTAGTTTCACTACTAGTTTTAAAAGACATATAAGGCCCGGGGATTTAGCTCAGTGGTTCCAGCGCCTGCCTTGCAAGTGCAAGGTCCCGAATTCGATCTCTGGTACCAAAAAAAAAGACATATTAGATCAGCAGTAAGCTGGCTTGTAAGAAAGATACAAGTGTTACGAATATATGCCAGGCACAGTGGCGCAGGCCTGTGGTCCCAACACAGCCTCTGGGAGGCTGAGCCAGCAGGGTCACAAGTTTGAGGCCAGCCAGGCAACTCAGTAAGATCCTGTCTCAAAACAAAAGATGAAAGATAAAGGGAGGTGCAGATGCAGCTCAGTGCAAAGGCCCTGAGTTCAATCCCCGGTACTGCCAGAAGAAGAAAAAGGCTAGCGTAACAGTAAATGCGACTACTTACTACTCCCACCTTGACTCAGACGGGTCTAAACAAAATCCCCGGACCGGCACTGAGCCAGGTCGGGAGGAGCTGGCGGGTGTCCCTTCCGTACAGCGCCAGGGTGGCTCTCGGGAGAGACCAGCCGGAGCCAGGAGGCCTTGGGCCCCAGACAGGGTGGGCTCAGCACGGCCGCCAGCCCGCGCTTACCATCCTCCGTGCA